TGGGGTGCCGAGCTCCTGAAGCGTCCCGTCCCATCAGACATCCGCACCCCCTCCAGGGCTGGCCACAGAGGGGGAACACGTTTGTTATAGACATAGAAAGGCACGCGCACAGGGAGCCCACCCTGACTTACAGGGATGCATCCACCCTCGCTCACCATCCCGCCAGGCGGTTCTGCCCATCGTTTGCCAGGGGAGGGAGAGGAGAGACATCGCTCTGCAGAAATCACGCTGGGACATTGTTTTCATTGAGCCATTGTCCGCTCCTCAGAACCCCGCAGGCCTGGAGACAGTAGAAGTGACGCTCGGGACCGGCTGAAATAATACATTGATTTCTCTATCCCACTTCCATCTACGCCACTGCGAGTCATATTTCCTCAGGTGCCCCGTAAATGACAATATCTGGCCGGCCTTTCCCCCAGTGGACCACTCACACAGCCCATCCATCACTGGGATGAAGGCGGAACAGCATTACAAACCCATCACCTGCTCCTCCTGCCATGCTGCACCCCCCCCCTCCCCATGCCAAGACCCGCTCCGAAACGAGATAATTCAGCTAAGAATGCTATCAGCCAATCCATCATTTCACGGGAGAGAGAGGGAAGGAGTCTGGGGATTGCTGTCTCACTTCGAAACCCGGCACTTCGGTATGGGGTGGCCCGATGTGCAGGTGAGAAAGCAGACTCAGCTTCCAGGAACACGGATGGCTCCGTGCTCACAGAGTGACGGCAAAACACTCATGCGGGGGGGAGGGGGGCTCTCAGAGGGAAGCTAGCGGGAGGACCCCTGACACTGCTCCCCCATCACGGTCCAGTTCAGAGGAAGGAGTCGAGACCTGAGGTGCCTGAAATAAGTGTCTCTCTGGAGAAATGCGCCCACGCCTGACGGGCTCCATTAGTTTTATCCCCTCTGGCTTCCCTTCAAGGCGGATTGGTCAAGCCCCGGACCCAGCCACCTGGCCTGTAATTAAAAGCTTGGGAAGCGGTGGGTGTGGAACCGCCTGGGCGTTGAGTTCCTGTTCGGGAGGGGCCAGTGAACCTGGCTCCCCTCCTGAGGCCAGGGGACAGTCTTGGCCGGTGACTTTTCCTTCCTTGCGACACTTTCTTCTCTTGGCTTCTGGAACATTGCACATACCCGATCTTTATTCTCACTTCCTCTCCCGGGCAACCTGGGTGAAAGAAACCTCATCATGGGTGGACAGCAGTTAAGCCACCCAGCAGGGTCTTGCCTCAGTAACAGGAATAATTAGCCTCAGACAGAAGGCTGCTCTGGCCCCAACTGAGAAAGCTGACAAGCAAGACCTGCAAGGACCAAACCACTTCCTGGGAACCCAGCTGCATCCCAGGACAAATCCCAAAACATCAACACCCAGCACAGTTCGTTCACAGCAACTCGTATGCGATCACACGGGTTGTGAGGCATAGGAGGAATCAGGAAAACACAGTCCATAGTGGACCAAACATGAAGCTGCCCAAACTGAAAACGGGCACAGGGGACTGAGTAGGTGCCAATATTAAATAGTTATTGTGATTGTGCCCCGAATGTCTGGAAAGGTAGAGGAGACACAGAATATGTTAAGTAGAAATGATGAAACCCTAAATTGAATTTCTAGAGATGAAATCTGCAGTGCCCGAGGCTTGGAATCTATCGTGTGGGGTTAATGGCAGATTAGACTTTGAGGAGGAAAAACCATGTAACTTGAAGATATAGTGGTAGCAGCCATCAAAAAAAAAAAAATCACGCAGAGAAAAATAATTTATAAAAATGGAAAAGAGCTCAGTGTTTAGGTGATTGGTGCCCTGAGGGGGAGGGGGCGGGAAGAAGTAATATTTAAAGTGATAATGGTAAAAAAGAAGTTTTACAAACCTGATGAAAACTATAAATCCATAGACTCAAGAAGTTGAACAAACCCCAAGCACAATACATATAAAAAGAACTACACACAAACAGCACCATCAAATTGCTCAAAATCAATCAAAGAGAAAATTCTAAAACTGCTTGGAGAAAAAAGACGCATTCCATACAAAAGAAGAAAGGTAACATCGGTGAGGCCTTCGTGCTGGAATCAATGGGGCAACATCTTCAAAGAACTAAAGGATGGGGTGGGGGAACCTATAACCTACATTCGGGGCCCAGGGAAATGGGTCTCAGAAGACACTGCACACAGTTTGGGTCTCTCTCTCTCTCTCTCTCTCTCTCTCTCTCTCATACCTTACTTTCATTTTTTATTTTTTTGGTGCCACAGGAACCCACCAAAGGCTTTCAAATACAGGAGAGATATATGACGGGAGTGAAATATGATTTGTTTTTTGTTCATGTCTGGGGTGCTGAATTCTTTAAGCTTTTGTGCGTCTGAAAGTGTATTTATTTCTTCTTCATTTTTGAGATTCATTTTTTTCTAGGTATCCTGCATAAAAAGGTGTCACACTGTCAAACAAGCCTGGGGAAATGCATCCTATACACTTTGCTCCAATCTTCGTATGCTAATAGCTCTGCGAGGTCCTATAGTACAGTTAATCCTTGAACAATGTGGGGAGCCGGAGGCCTGACTCCCCGCACAGTCGAAAATCTATGTATAAATTCTGATTTCCTAAGAACTTAACTACTAATCGCCCTGTTGACCGGAAACCTTACCAATAACAGTCAATTAACACCCACTTTACATGTTATGCGTATTATATACTGTATTCTCACAAAAAAGTAAGATACAGAAAAAATGTTAATAAGAAAATCATAAGCAAGAGGAAACACATCTACAGTAGTAACTGAAAAAAATCTCCACATAAGTGGACCCACACAGTTCAGGCCCGCGTTAAGGGTCAACTGTAAGTTATCATCTTAAAGTGTACTCTGTGTTCACTGGGGAAAGACTTCATTACTCATTTAGAGACCCAATGAGGAAAGCCTTCCCTCCCTTGGACCCATCTTACTTAGAGAACCAACCATACTGTTGGCAATGTTTGGATTCAGGCTGCCCATCAATCTATTCGTAAGTCCCCTGGGCACTTCTATCCCGCCAGCCACCGGGTTGGAAATTGGAGCATATTTCACACTTTCGTATATTTGCAGATCCAGGAGAAACATGTCTGTGCTTGTATTTACGACACTGTATTACTTGGTAGGAGTTACTTTTATGAAATCTTTAAGAGTCATTTAAAAAATGCTTAAATAGTAAATGGCCAGTTTTGCAAAGTGGTTAGAGCTTCGGCCTGTGCACCCAAGGGTTGTGGGTTTGATTCCTGGTCAAGGGCGCGTACCTGGGTTGCAGGTTCGATCCCCAGGCTGGGTGGGAGGCAACCAATCGATGTGTCTCTCTCACATTGATGTTTCTCTCTCTTCCCCTCCCTCCCTCCTTTCCAATCTAAAAGTCAACGGGGGGGAAAAAGTCCTCAGGTGAGAGTTAGCAAAAAATAAAAAATACATTTATTATCTGAATATATTGTTTTCTATTGAGATAGCCTATGTTTCTTGTTGATAAAACAATGTGATGCAATAAATGAGACTATTGACTAATTCCAGGTTCTTAGGAAAAGCTCCATATTCTAAATGCCATGCAGTCATTCAGATTTTCATTAAAGTGCCTATGGTGGGGCAGGATTGTTCCATTTTCTAGAAATACAGTAAAAAATGGGCAAAGTCCCTACTGAACTTACATTCTAGCAGGGAACACTTATAACAAACAGGCAAACAAATAAGATTTCAGAACAACGATAGCACATAACACAATAGGAAAGGGGGTGAGAAATGCACAGGGATTGTGGCTGCATTCGTTGCACCTAAAACCATTAACAAAATGAAATTTGAAGATAAAAAACAACAGCAGAGGCCTCTCCTGTCCTCCAGGGTCACTTCCCCTCCAAAGGAAACCCTGCCAGGCCCACGTGCCGTTACAGCAAAGTTCTGGCCAATCTTCCGGCACAGAATCATCCTTGCCTCACACAAATAGTCTCATAGTCTAAGAGACAAAACAAGAAACACACCTAACCCACTTTTTCAGGCTGGCAGAGCCAAGATATCAAATTGGATTCAGACAAAAGAAGAAAAGAGGACATTCCGTACAGTCTCATTTGCGAAAATAGAGCCAACATTTCTGCAAAGTATATTACACACCCAGCCCAGCCGTGTGCATGGCAAAAAAAGGACATCTTGTCCAAGGAGAGTTTGTCCAACATATTCAAAGATGAGCTAATTCATTACAGTGACAGGGTAAATAAGGGGGACATTTTTCAGTAGCTGCGGAAAAAGCATTAATGAAACTTTATGGTCAGTAGAAAAGAAAGACTCAGGAAGTTAGAAGAGGACCCATCTTAATGAAGGTGGGTGCAGAGGTATCCTGCGTAAGAGGTGTCCTTGCTCCGCTCTTCAAGGAAACAATCGTTGCCTAGCTACATGAGTAGAGGAAGCACCCGCCTCCTTGCGGTCTGCACCTCAATTTACCTCATCAGTACAGGTGCCTCTCCCTGAGATGACACCATTCTGGGGCAAATCTCACCTGGTCACTGTGCTGGGCTTTTGGCCCAACGTGTAACAACTCTGGGGTGATTCTCACCCTTCGTTTCCCCCCGCAGGCTGCTGAGCTTTGTTCATCGTCTCCCTCTGCCCATCCAGTTCCCCTTCAACCCTTCATAGGCTCTGATCCCTCAAAAACATGCTTCAACCCAAACTCCATTTCAGCAGGCACTTCAGAGAGCTGGACCTTGACAGTAGGCACGCCAGAGCATCTTCCAAAACCTACACCAAAATACTAAAGGACCATGTTTAAAGATTACAAGTATTCTTCTGGCCCTGGCCAGGTTGCTCAGTGGTTAGAGTGTTGGCCCTCAGACCCAAGGGTCCAGGTTCAATTCCCAGTCAAAGGGCACGTACCCGGTTTGCAGGCCTGATCCTGGCCTGGGTCAGGGGTCGGGGCATGTGCTGGAGGCAACCAATTGATGTGTCTCTCTACATTGATGTTTCTCTCTCTCTCTCTTTATCCTCCCTCCCTTCCACACTCTCTTAGAATCAATGGGAAAAATATATTCCGGTGAGGATTAACAACAACAAAGTATTCTTCCTTTAGTCAGAAGTAAGATGCGTGGTTGTCATCACTCGGTGCCCTTCAACATTCCATTAGCATTTCTAGAAAGAAAAGTAAAATGGAAAAAAAATAAGTTGTAAGGCATAAAAGGGATGAAATACATTTATCAATGGAGCAGATGCAAGAGATTCTGTAGACAAAGTTTTCAGACTCGCAGGGGAGTGCACAGGGGTGGCGGATACAAGATGAGACACGGCGAGCCGTGTCCTCCCAGACACAGCAGCACCAACTGGAAAGCACAGCCCTAGAGAAGACCCCGCCACACTGCACTGAAAACAAAATCTCTATCACAGGTCCATCAACACAGGGCCTCGTGTGAAAAATTCAAGCTCTTTTTAAGTAACATAAAAGGCAGCTTGAATAAGCAGAAATACAGGTCTAGACCATCTAGTGCTAAAAACTCATGTGCAAGTCCGTGCAAAGGGGCAAAACTTGCTGAAACAACTGAAAATCCTAGCGGGAGCGTTAGCACATCTTTCTTAAGAAGCATAATGTGATAGTAATAAAAAGCATGCGATGTTGGTACCGGCCTTAGACAAATGGCCAAGGGGACACCTCGGGGGTCCAAACACAGATTCTCACGTCGGGACAAGGCTTTGATTGCTGGGGGGGGGGGGGGGGGGGGGAAGCATTGTTTAAATAACGGTGCAAAGGCAATGGGAAGATCAACTCCAGGTATATTTAAAGCTACATGTGACAAGCAAAACTTGAAAACGTTTGCTAGAAAATGTAAAAAATTCCATTACAATTTCATAAAAGCAGAGATTTAAAAATTTTTTTTAATGTTTTTATCAATTTCAGAGAGGAAAAGAGAGGGAGAGAGATAGAAACATCAATGATGAGAGAGAATCATTGATCAGCTGCTCCTGCACCCCCCTCCCCCCACCCTCCGCACTAGGGATTGAGCCCACAACCCAGGCATGTGCCCTGACCAGGAGTAGAACCCGTGACCTCCTAGTTCATAGGTTGACACTCAACCACTGAGTCAGACCATAAAAAGGGGAGATTTTAACAATAAGACACAAAGAGCAAAAAGGTTTGAAAAAGATTAATTCAATTCCATTAAAATCTTTCAAAATCTTGCATTAGAAGAAATGTTATATAAGGAAAGAGGATTGTCACAGACTGAAAAGAAGATATTTATAAACAGAGGATAACATAACACAGAATAAGTAACTTCTACAAATTAATAGTTTTCTTTAAATATATTTTTTTATTGATTTCAGAGAGGAAGGGAGAGGGAGAGAGAGGGAGATAGAAACATTAATGATGAGAGAGAATCATTGATCAGCTGCCTCATGCACACCCCCTACTGGGATTAAGCCTGCAACCCAACCTATACTAATAATAGGATAATATGCAAATTGGTAGGGACGCTATCACATTAACGACTGATCAGCAGTCTGCGTGTGCAGCAGGCGCGGGTGGGCAGGGACTTGCAGCGTTGGGGACGGGGGCGGAGAGGCCTCTCCTCCGCGGCCCCAGCCCCAGCCGGGGGTCCGCAGGTGTGCAGAGAGGCCTCTCCACCGTAGGCCCGGCCTGGGGGCAGGGCCGCAGCAGGGGCCTCCGTGCGCCTGCACCAGGGGTCTGCAGGCCTTTGCTGTGACCCAGCCTGGGGGTCCACAGGCCTCCCCCAGCCCCGGCCTACCTCTTTGGGGCAATCCATTGAGGAGCCCCAGAAGGATGGGTTGGGCCTACCTCCTTGGGGCGATGGATCGCAAGGCTACTGGACTGTGACAGGGCACAGGCCAGGCTGGGGGACCCCCCCCCCTCCGCCCCAAGTGCACGAATTTTGTGCACTGTGCCACTAGTAGGTTTTTAAAAGAAAATCAGCCCAACAGAAAAAAAGGCCAATAATATGCCCAGAAATTCATGTAAAAGGAACTGCAAAGACCCAGAAACATGTATGATCCAGTAACACCAGCAATTGGAGAAAAATAAAATGGAAAGAAGACCACAGAGTGTAGGATTTCATTTATGTAAAATGTTCAGAATTGAGACCTAAAGTGAGTTCACGGTTGACCAGGGCTGGGGAGTGACTGCTGATAGACCTTTGGTTTCTTACTGGGGTGATAAAACGTATAATTGGATTGTGTTGATGGTTACACAACTGTTGAATATAGTAAAATAAAAACCATGTAACTGCACACCTCAGTGGATAGATTATATGGTATATGAATTATATCTCACTAAATCTGTTTAGAAAATGGAGTGATGATTGAGTCATTGGTGAAACAACACACTGAAAATGTTAAATGCTCCACAAAATACTATATATACTTGTGGGTGTCCAGCCCCACAACGAGAGTGTAAGCACGTACGTGGGGGAGGATCACAGGAGGCTCAGATGCTATGCACCCAGAGGAGGGGAGGCTCGGGGAGGGTGCAGTCATTGTCTCTTTCTCTCTTAAAAAGACTGGACATCGACGTTTGTCAACCTGGACAGTCACGCGTGGCTGTGACTCTGAGGCACTTTTATGTTTGTTTCATCTTCTATTTGGTCCCACCTTTCCTGCTCCTCAGCCACATCTGCATTGCTTTGTGGTTTATCCCTGCTGTGTGTGTACCAGAAGCCTGGAGAGAGAGAGAGAGAGAGAGGAAGAGAGAGAGAGAGAGAGGGAGAGAGGGAGAGGGAGAGAGAGAGAGAGAGAGAGAGAGAGAGAGAGAGAGAAAGAGAGAGAGAAAAAGAGAGAAATGCACACCTATGTGTACATTATACATCAAATTGTAGTCAATAACTATTAGGGCAATTGCATTTCTCTTTATCTCCTGTAATTAGGTCTTAGCTACAACCCCTGTTCTTTGTTCTCATCTGCAGCATGACCGATGTGTGCGGCACCGTTCACTGTAAACCCCCAATAGCTGTGAGGCAGCGACTGCATCCATCTCTCCACAGAAAATCACTCAGTGCTTATTTACTGTGGGTCTAGCCCGGCCCACGACATGCCATCCCCAGGACATGGCCCAGGAAAGAAGACGAGCCCCCTGGCAGGGCTGGTATCCATCCGTCCCAGCTCTCGGCTTCCCATCCAGCAGAAGAGCAGGCAGGCATTGGGGAGGCTGGTGGGCGGCTCTGGGTCCCTTGTCCGTGACCTGGTTAGCATAATGTGGAAATGGGGGCTTGGGTGGGAGGGGGGCCTCGCTGGGGTATGTTTAGTTGTCCCTGGATTTATGGGTCTGGAGTTGCTAATTTTCTGTAGAATAGTCATTGCTCTTATTACAGAAAATGGTCTATTTTTTAAAGCTGCAGAAGGCTCTGGAATACAAAACAGCTTTTGCAATTCTTTTGACTGATTTATTTATAAGGGAGTTTGTTTGTTTCTTGCCGTTAGTTGATTTTGATGGAAGCTGCAAAATTAGGCAGGAGAGTCTGGGGGCATCCATATAGCCCGTGAAACTAACCTGCTAAATTTATACCTACATTTATACTTATGTTTATATTTGAGTAGAACAAATGACAGCAATGATAAATGGACAGGAGGAAGAAAGGAACTGGGGTTATTCTGTTGTGATAAGGTGCTAACAATAGCCTTGAAGTGGCGGACCTGGATTAGTTGTAAATGTATATTGCAGACTCTAGGACAACCAATACAAAAAATTGTTTTAAAGTAGAAAAAATGGCCCTGGCCGGTGTGGCTCAGGGGATAGAGTGTCGGCCTGCAGACTGAAGGGTCCCGGGTTCGATTTCCAGTCAGGGCATATGCTTAGGTTGCAGGCTCAATCCCCAGTAGGGGGCGTGTAGGAGGCCGCCGATCCATGTCTCTTTCTCATCATGGATGTTTCTCTCTCTCTCTCCCTCCCCCTTCTTCTCTGAAATCAATAAAAATAAATTTTAAAAAAGTAGAAAAAAATAAACTGATAAAGAAGAGAAAATGGAATCATATAAAACATTCAGTTAAAATCATAAAAGGCAGAAGAAGAGTGGAGGACAAAAATAGGGGACAAGAACACGGGCACCAAATAGAAAACAGCAATGAACGTGGTAGCTGTTAATCCAACCACATCCGCAATCACTCTGAATGGCAATGGTCCGAACGCATTAATTAAAAGACAGAGATTGTCAGTGGATCAAAAACACTACCCAAGCTTCTGTTGTCTACAAAACAAACAAACAGCACACATTTTAAGTGTAAAGACACAGACATTAAACGTAAATGGATGGAGAAAAGCATAGCATGCTAACGCTAATGAAAAGGAAGCAGGAGTCACTATATTAATTTCAGAGAGAGCAGACTTCAAAGTAAGGAATAGAAGAGGGCATCGCATAATGATAAAAGGGCCCGTGCTCCAAGAAGACATAATTTTTAATGTGTATGCGCCTGACAACAGAAGCATCAAACTGCATGAGGCAAAAACTAATAGAACCGCAAGGAGGAATAGATGGCTGTTTCATCATAGCTGGAGACTCTAACGCCCCTCACTCAGACACGGACAGATCCAGCAGGCAGGAAATCAGTAAGAACAGAGTCAAACTCAACAACACCATCAATCAACTGCACGTAATTGACATCTTCAGACTACTTCACCCAATCGCAGGAGAAATCACATTTTTCTTACGCTCTTGTGGAACATTTATCGAGACAGACCCTATTCGGGGCCAGAAAACACACTTTAAGAAATTTAAAAGAACAGAAATCATATATTGTCTACTCTCAGATCACAATGGAATTAAACTAGAAATCAATAATGGAAAGACAGCCGGAAAATCCCCAACTACATGGAGATTAAACAACAGATCTCTAAATAGCCTGTTGATCAAAGAAAAAAATCTTAGGGGGAATTAAATATATATATATGTATATATGTGTATAGTATTGGATGAAAATAAAAACACAATTTCAAGATGTATGGGATGCAGCAAAATGCAGTGCTTCAAGGGGAATTTATATCATTGAATGCATATATTAAAAAGATGGAATACCTAAAATCAATCATCTAATTTGTCACTTCAGGAAAAGAAGGGCAAATGAAATCCTAAATAAGCAAAGAAAACAAGCAAGAATTACAGCAGCAATCAGTGACATTGGAAACAGGAAATCAATCGAGAAAAATCAACAAAACCAAAATCGGGTTCTTTGAAGAGATCTATAAAATTAATAAGCCTCATGACAAGCTAACTAAGAATAAGAGAGAGAGGACACATACTATTAATACCAAAAATGAAAGTGGAGACATCACTACAGAGACAATGGAAATTAAAATGATAATAAATATTACGAAAGAACTTGATAGTCACAAATTTGATCATCTACGTGCAATGAACCAATTCCTTGAAAGAGACAATCTGCCAACACTCAGACACGAAGAGACAGATGGTCTGAATAGGCCTGTTTCTATCAAAGAAGTTGGGGCGATCATTCATAACTTCCACAATGGAAGCATCAGGCCCACATGGGTTTACTGGTGAATTCTACTGAACATGTCAGGAAGAAATTGTACCGAGTGTCCACAGCCTCTTTCAGAGTCTAGAAGCAGAGTGAATACTTCCCATTCTCCTCTCATAGATTGCCATTATGCCAAACCAGACAAAGACGTTATAAGAAAACTACAGACCAATCTCTCTCATGAACATAGATCTAAAAATCCTCAACAAATAGCAGCAAATCCAATCCAATGGTGCACAGAAAGGACTATACACCTCCACCAAGTGTGATTGACTACAAGTATGCAATGTGGGCTCAACATTCAAAAAGGAACTCGTGTACTCTATCACATCGACAGGTGAAAAGAGAGAGAGCACACGATCCTATCCATAGAGGCAGAAGAGCATTTGCCAGAATCCAGCGCCCCTTCATGACAAAACTTCTCAGTGAACTAGGACTACAGGGGACCTTTCTCAACTTGATGACGAATATCTACAAAAACTACAGCTAACATCGTACTTACCAGTGGGGAACTCAGAGCTCCCCCATTCAGGTCAGGTGCAAGGTCAGGACGAAACCTCTCACCACTCCTTTTCAACAGCATACTGAAGTCTTTGCTACTGCAATGAAGCAAGAAAGGAAATAAGAAACATTCAGATTGGGAATGAAGACATAAACCTGTCTTTGCAGATGACATGATCATCTATGTAGAAACCCCAGAAGAACTGACAAAAAAATTCCTGGAACTAGTAAGGATTTACAGCAAGGTTTTAGGATCCAAGATTAACATTCAAGAATCCATTGCTTTCATATAATCAACAAGTGGAATTTGAAATTAAAACCACAACATTTACCTTAGTACTCAAAAAATGAAATATTTAGGTATAAATCCAACAAAATAGGTACAAAATCTATACAGAAAAACTATTAAACTGATGAAAAATCAAAGATATGAATAAATGGAGAGCTATTCCATGTTGATGGTTAGAAAATCAATTTTGTAAAGATTCAATGCCATCCTAATCAAAATCCCAGCACATTATTTTATAGACACTGACAAACTGATTTTTTAATTTTCTTGTTTTGGCTCCACCTCCTTACAATTCCTAAGTGCACTCTGAGGCTGGAGATGAGAAGGGAGAGGTTGGCAGCTTATTCATTTCTATCTTTTTTTTTTTTCTTCAATGAGCACATATTCTTGGTAACGCTTGTTAAATGAACGAAGCCGGAACTGGATTCAAATCCCAGCTCTGATCATCACCTTCTTCGTGAACTTGGGCGCGTTATTTGACCTCTCTCGACCTCAGGGTCTTCACCTGGAAACGGAGTCAGGTACAGAGGCTAACGGAGGTGTGACCGCCTGTGCGGTGTGAGCCTGGTGCCTGGCACGGAGTCAGTGGCGAAGAAGCTGGTGAAGAACCTGCCGGACACCCTGTGGGTCTGTCCCCGTGTGTCCTTTAGAAAAGGCGGTGATGGCGCCACCCGCCTGCCTTGTGTGGCTAAGGAGCCACCCGTCCATCAGGCGGCTCCCCTACGGCAGGTGTGTGGGGAGCGCTTCCACGCACGGCTCCATTAAATCCAGTAACCACACTGAGTAGGTCCACCTTGTGGACGAGGAAAAGGAAGCACGGAGCCGTGTATTCCTTGTGCGACGGGCGGCGGTCAGCGGCTGCCGCCTTCAGAGCCCCTGGTTTCACGCATACTGAGGGCTCCTCGCATCCAGCCCACACGTCAGTTCCCACGGAAGAGGGCGATGATAAATGCGTCTGCAGTCTGCATACTTGTACGACGTGTTGCCTCGGGTCCTTGCCTGGTTATACATTTAGGATCAATTTCTAAGAGCGCAATGCTCTTGAATATGTTTTGAGCTCTTCGAGGCCCGTTGCCAAATTACCCTCTGGATCTCCCCCTCCCCCAATTTACAGTCCCATTGACAGGAAATAAGAGCACTCAATAGACAACATTATCAGAGGCCACACATTTTTCACTGGATGTGGCTTCCATATGTTGTCAGACATTTACTTTAATTCTTCGCTGTATAAGTAAGACCCTTTCCCACATCCTGATGAATAAAGTACTTTCTCTTTGAGACCGACTTCTTCGATCAAATGCTCACGGGTCACATGTCAAATTACTTCCCAGAAGAAGGTAATTATTCCTTATTGCCCCCAGACATGGACTGAGGGCCCGCTGGGTGCCACCTGTCCTAGAGTCCTCCTCCTGGGGAGGGCCCCACTGGGGAGCTGCTCCTATTAGAAATGAGTGCACCCTAGCCCGGCTGGCGTGGCTCAGTGGGTGAGCATTGACCTATGACCCAGGAGGTCACGGTTTGATTCCTGGTCAGAGCACATGCCCGGGGTTGTGGGCTCGATCCCCAGTGTAGGGAGTGCAGGAGGCAGCTGATCAATGATTGTTTTTCATCATTGATGTTTCTATCTCTCTCTCTTCTTCCTCTCTGAAATCAATAAAAATATTAAAAAAAAAAAAGAGAGAGAGAGATGAGTGCACCCCTGTCTGTGCCTGGAAGAAGTCTCATCATCCTTCATGACCCTTGAGGCCACTGCTTGTGAAACGCCCCTTTCTCCAGGGGGTTGCAGAGACCTGCATCAGCCTCCTCCCCCACCCCGCTCCCCGCC